GCGTGCACAAGATTGTCGAATGGCAGCGTGACCCCGACGGCACCTCCTCCATCCTCCTCGACGTCTTCGACGTGACTCCCGGTGAGCCTATCCAAGTGATGGAGATTTCCAAGGAAAATAAAGCTCTTTACGTCGCCTCCGACTTCCGTGTCAAACAAGTGGACTTAGTTATGTGCAATAGAAGGTATGATAACTGTCTTCGATGTGTCCACGACCCTTATTGCGGCTGGGACAAAGACTCTAACGTTTGTAAACCGTATTCACCTGGGTAAGTCCCCCAAAACTCACATTTCGATACTTGCTAATTCAAAATTTCAGTTTATTGCAAGACGTGTCTAATAGCACAGTCGATGTGTGCGATAGTAGCGTCGTGAAGAAGAAAATGATCGTGACATGGGGGCAGAGTTTGCATCTAGGGTGCTTTTTGAAGATGCCAGCAGTGTTGGCCTCGCAGACGATCACGTGGTATCATTATTCTAAGGAAAAAGGCCGGTACAAAATCCAGTATCGGTGAGTAGTAAATGAGTGCCGAAAAGTGGACTTTTTGGACGTGTTGCAGGCCGGATAAGTACATCGAGACTTCAGAGCACGGTTTGGTGATAATTGCCGTGACTGAGGCCGATGCAGGTCGGTATGATTGTTGGATGGGGGCTTCCCTGTTGTGTTCTTACAACGTGACGGTGGATGCTCATCGGTGTTCGCCCCCGGCCAAAAGCAACGATTACCAAAAGATCTACTCGGACTGGTGTCACGAGTTCGAGAAGTATAAATCAGCGATGAAGACTTGGGAGAAGAAGCAAGCTGTGAGTGATTTTAGGGCGAGTTGTGGTTTGTTTTAGAGAGTTTTTTTTTTCAGCAATGTGCTTCGCGCCAAAACGACAGCAACCAGAATAGTCACCCAAATGAAATCTACCGGCCGCTCGTCTGATAGCTGATTCAGCACGGTCCGCTTGCTCTTACGTTCTTAGGAATCCCGTTATACTGGACTCTCGTTCTCTTTGTGTAAATAAGTACTACCAAAGTGAAATTACTCAACGATCAATCAGTGAAAGTGCCCTGTTTTTGTGATGGACGAGTGTGAATGGACAGTGCTTGAAATTCGCCCTTTGTTGCATTTGAACGTTTCGATGTATAAAAAAAGTTTTGCTTTCCCGTTTATTGTGTTACTATTTTTGATATTGCTTTGGAAAATTCTCTAAATATTGTAGGTCTGTGATATATATGTACTGTAATTTCATGGAGGTTTCTTTTTAAAGTATATTTAATGCAAAACAATCAGCTCGAAACTGATAACTCCGGACCAAAGTGAATGGACTTACTGTTAACTGCGGTTGAATTGTAATTTTAGTGCGTATTCAAAGCAATACTTTTCGCTTGCAAAGTGTTGGGCCCTTTAAAATTATATATACCCATTTGTAAATACGTTCCAGTGCATTTTTTTATGTAACCAAAACAGATCTTTTTCGAATGAGAGAGAAACCGGCAGAAGATCTGTTATGTGGATTTTAATTCGTATTTAAGGACAATCACTTGAACAGATTATATATTTTCGTTCCGACATCGATTCATTTGCAAGTTACATAATATTGTAAAAAAAAACACAAAATATTGTTATCATAATTCAGAAAATCTTATAGTATTGTTTGTTTTAATAGTATTGTACTCCTGTAAATACCTATGTATAGTTATTTATAACATCTATGTAATTTATACTACTGTAGAAATTACAATAAGACGTTTCCTGTAGCTATGCTTTAGTTTTATTTCGTGATGCAACAAGACTCAACATTTTACATTTAGTTTTATTTAAATGACACAATTTTTTCAAATAGGAAGATACATATCTTTGTCCGCAATAATTTAAGAGTAGTTTTTGACCCGTTCGATTTTAATTTTTTGTAAAATACTTACGTGCTTTTACAGTTAATAATTTAATCCAAAATTGTAGATAAGTATTCTTGTTACGAATTTAAATAGTAGAGATTTTCATAACTAGTAAAATAACTTTATTCACTTCTATGAAGTGATATAAAATATTAATAGAATTAGTTTTTCTATTAATACTTATATCATTATTTTGGTTCAACATAGGTTTAGTTACGTAAAAAACAAAATTCTGTGCAAATGTGTTACATTATATTTTATCAATTTTTTGTAAATATTTACATCGCCCATAAGATTAGTTTACGCTATAGCAAAATGACATCCTATTGTAAATTGTAATGGCTATGTCGCTATTGCTCTGAAATTATTCTCAATAAAAATTATATAATAAAGGGTTTTAATACTCCCTAATATAGCAGCAGGTGTTTTTTGTTACAACATTAAAAAAATGTAATCCAACCTAATAATAATCTGACGAAGTCTTAACAAAGATCACAAACTGTTTTTTGTACATTTTTTGCCTGTGCATGTTTTTTTTTCTCAATTTTTGTAACTACGAGCGATTTTTTTACAAGAATTTTAAAAACCTAAACTAAACTATTCTGGTAAAAAAGGACAAAAATTGTTTTTTGTCCAATTTTTGTGCTCTAGGGCAATTTTTTACTCAACTTTTTTGTGTCCATAGACGATTTTTTTATTAATTTTTGTGATCACATGCAATTTTTTGTTTTATTTTTTGTCACTAGAAGGATTTTCAAAATATTTATGAAAATCAACTTAAACGACTAATACTTAACCATTTTTTTTATATTTCGGTCTCAATGAATATTTTGTGTAACTGAAAACACAAAATACAACTGTAACAATGTGGTCGATTTTTTACCTATTTTTTGGTGATCATAAAGCATTTTCTGTTAAATATTTGTGAATACATATAAATAAAAAAGGTACAGTAAAGAGAACTCAACAAAATGTAAAAGATTTATTTAAGAAGGACCGGGTTTTATTGCTATAAAGAATTATGTATAAAAATTAATGCATTTTATAATTTTATGTCTTCTAATAGATAGGTATTTGCTTTCAGTACCAACTTTTAATTCCAAACTTACTACCTAATGTATTGACACAACTTTAATAACTTGTGTTATATGTACTAAAAACCGCAACGTATTGATTTTATTTAAATATATTTCTCAGTGTGTAAATGGAGAGCATTTAGAAATTTTTTGGTAGAGAATAAAAAGCAAAAAAATACAAATATTTTTTTTAACTTTCAATTCAAATTCAAAAGAAAACAGTTATTTTTTCCAAAATCTTTAACCGTAAACCAAATATCTCTACTAAAAATTGGTCAAATAAAGTTAAGAAGTTGTGATATAGGCCACCAACAAAACACACTTATCTGAAGTAAAAAAACAAAGGTTGGTAACCCAAGGAGAATTCGCGAGAAGTTATATTCTCGATGATTTGCAATTAAAAATGTATCAATTTCTTTATTAAAATCACATAAAATCACCAAAGGCTCATTTTTTTACCTTTGGGAAAATTTTTAAGGTTCTACCTTGTTTTTTGAAGACGCCAAATGCCCTGGTCCAGAAGTAAAGAGCCATTTTGGGGTGCTTGAAAAGAAGGCATTTTGTAAGTTTTTTAGATCTTTTTTGGATGTTTACTTTTGGGAAAACACTAAATTTATAAGATTCTACCCTGTTTTTTCGTGTGCCCAATTTTTGGTGATCTACAGATATTTGGGTACTTTTGGGGTGAATAAAAATTAATGTTTTTTGAAGGGTTTTAGGCCTTTATCGGTTGTTTACTTTTGAGCAAACAGCTAAATTTGTAAGATTCTGCTTTGTTTTTTAAGGCGCCAAATGTCCTGGCCCAGAAGTAACATTTTATACTCTACTATTCTTTTATTGCCAAGAATTTTTTTCAAGAAAAACTTTATACTATTTTATTATTAATAAAAAAGTTTTGCCAAGTTATTTACTAGTTTGATATTTTTTCTTCATTATTGAAACTTTTAAATAAAATAATCTAGATCATTTTGAATTTTAAATTTAAAGCCTTTTTCTGTCCTGAAAACCACTTTATCTTAATTTTTTACACTTTACTGAATTTTTTTACTTAAAAATTTGTAAACAACATTTTTTTTAATAGTCACTTCAAATAATAATTTTAAAACAAATTCTGTATTTTTGTTTTATTTTGACTCCAAGTTTTTGATTTTTATCTTTTCTAACAAATTAATCAATTGAGACGAGTCCTGAAACAAATCAATTTTATTAAAACTTTAGACATTTCTCTGTAACCGTAACTCTTAGAAATCTTATGTTTATAAACTTGAAACAACTTCGTTTCAGTTTCAAACATTTAAAATTTTCTAAACGAGTAGTTTTTTAAAGGGATTTTTAGACATAATAAAAGAGAGAAATAATATTAATTAGTGCTTGTCCTCGAATTGATTGACGTAAACCCGGAACTGAAACATAATATAGTCTCGCCGCCCACTTTCGAGGACCTAAACTGTTGACCTGTACGTCCAGATAACCGCATCCAYCATCCCCGAAGAATAGTTGAATGGCGTTGCACACCGCAAATCTCACTTTACTGTTCAGACGCACTCGGATTTCCCAAAGACTGTCACTCGTTTTAATTAATCGTTAATATAAATAAAATTCCTCGGTGTTGAGGGCACTTTTATGGCCTTTATGACTATTAATGAAACAGTGATTAGTTTGACTATTTTCTATTGTCATGGGTTTCCAAAAATTAAATAGTTAGAAGTGTATTTTTTATATCCAGTATTTTGACTTTTGTATATTTGGGTGCGTACATTAGGCGCAAGCCTCGTAAAGTTGTGTGAAACACCCTGTATACAGGGTATTTCACGAGTGATAATGAGCCTGACCACATTTGAACTGCAGCCAACAATACATTTGCATAGGCTTCATGGATTTTGATTATGAATTTTAAAATTAATAAAACATAGTTATCGCGTGACTGACACAAAGAAATTGACAAGACTGGAAACACAATTTTTAAGGTTATTGTCTATCTACCATTGGAAAACACTTTCAAACCTTTTTGGAGCTTTTCTATACAGGAAACATTGTCTTTACAAAAGAAGTATTTTTCCCAAATTCGTCATAAATGAAAATCAGATCTGTTTTCTCATCGTTCCAATGCATTTTGAAATTTTGCTAATGTCAGTTTTGACATGGTTGTGACAAATAAAATTATCGAAGCAAAGCAATCGTGGATTCATAATTCGGTTTTTCAAACAATGCGATATCTAAAATATCCTCGTTAACTTTGCAAATGTATTGTGGGTTGTATTTTCAATTCCATCAGGCTCATTATCACTCGTGAAATACCCTGTATAATGCTTTCACTTTACTAATATAAATCAAGGTACATATTTCTTAAGCCCATTAAAAACTTAATTTAAACATTATCACAACTGGGCCTAGAAATTAACAACAACCAAAATCTCTTATAATTGCAAGCTACATAAATCCATCATCACCTCTGAAATTAATGGCGGCATACGAGGTTCCTCTGCGTCCATATTAAAATCCTGTACTCCACAAGAACAGAATATTGGACTATAGTATACTACTGCAAGCTCTCTATTTTTACAGTACTGCTTTTCCACTACTTTCATTCCAATGAAACCACAAATTTTCGTTATATCTAAAAATAGTTGTTTTAGTTCCTCATCGCTGTTTGGCAATGGACAGATATAGGTAGTTTTCTTGGTTTCGCTCCCCTTTTCATGGTAATCAGGTGTTCGGTCCTTTATTTTGTAGCAAACTCTCCAAATGCAAGATGGTTCGCAATTTCTTTTGTACCCTACGACATTAGTTATTTCAACCTCTCTGAAGCACGTACGCTGAAAAGCATTCATGGCCTGGTCTTCCTCCGTRTCAGACACACATCCAAGGAAAAGAGGCAATTTCTCTAAAATATTTATATGTATGTACATTAAAAGACAAACAGACACATGTATTAAAACTTACTGTTATTCAGATTTGGATAATTTATCATTAATTGTTCTCCAGCCATCTTGTACTGCGGAGTGAGGTAGTGCGGACAACAGACAGCTGACAGAGACAACCACGAACGAACCCAAACGTTGAGTTGATCGATTGCGCATGAGATGCTACTGGCGCACTGACTCATAATTGAGGTGAATGTATTGTTGCATTGTTCTTCTATATTATTGATATTCGTAATGCTTCTTTCAGAGATTTCAGCAATGCGTAAAGTGACTTCCTGGTTTAAGCTAATTTTAGCAGCAGACGGTACATCAATGTGGAGCTCTTCTACACTGTCAGGTTGTAGATCTTCTTCTTTTTGTGACAAGTTAGCAATATCCTCAGTACATTTTTGGGTAATATACATTGCAACCAAATGCATGTGTTTACAAAAATTATTTTTTATAGACGCTTCATAACATGAACACTTGAATGCAAGCTTTACAGAGCTGACAATAGAGACTTCGACAGCTACAAATCTCATCGACTAAATCCACTTCATAATAATCAACTTTGGACTGTGAGTGGACAAGAAATTTGTTTGTTTTGTATTGCAACTGCTTCAAAATTCATCTCCATTGCACGTTTATGGAATTTATTCACAAAAAGATCTCGATGAGTAGCAGTGGGTCGTAAAATTGAGGCAAATCTTTTCCAAGACTTATCTATAATAAGCTTGTCTAATGCATCCAGGCAAGTTTCTAACCGTTTAACTGTTTTCCCAGAAAAATAATTATATTTCAAATTTTTATGGAGAGCTTCTAGATGCATATTAGTGTTGATGCCTGCATTTTTTCTATAACAATGTGCCCAGGTCGCTATACGCTCTTCATTTTGCAAATAATATGTATTTAAATATTGTAAAAATGAATATTCATTGTTAAGTTGTAGAAACTGTATTAAATTATATTTTAGGCGCAAAAATTCAATCTCATCAGTTTCTTTTATTAAACCATTGAGGTCTTGTTGACTTTTGTCTCTTTTTTGAGGGTCCGAAATTTTGGATTTACACTGTATTGCCCAATTTTTTTTAATGTGCCAGGTGCACAGAAGCCGATGTGGCACAGTGCCCATAACATTACACCATGCATTGAAATATATGGGAGTGTCATAAGGTAATCTGGGATCAAAGTACCAATTATTTTTTTTATTTCTTTAAGTAAAACTACTTGTATTGTAGTGTCCTTCCTATTTGAAATTAAAAAGGCAACAGGGTGTCCCATATGTTGGTCATCTAATACAAGAATTGTCGTCAACTCAAAATTGTATGGGTTGGTCCCATGTGTTCCATTGTTCAAATGATTCGTGGCCCATAAGTAGTAAGCATATATTTCATTTCATTATTCATGTATGCTAGTGCAAAATCGTCTTTTTCTAGAATGTCATGGCTATCCCCAATTTTTTTAAACAAGAAAACATTATTTTCTTTTTGGTTCCACTCTGCTACTTTCATTTCAACGGCTATTAAATCTGATTTGTTTCTTTTCCCACAAAGATTGTTTTTCTCTGCCAAATAATAAATATCTTTCAATGTTAACAAGTTCAATCGGCTGCAGTCATCACTTTCTAGACTTGTCGCTTTTTTTAATATTGTTTCATAAGAAACCCCTAAACGAATTTGTTCAATAATGTCACTTCTTTCACTTTCAGATAATGATTGACAACGAAGTTCAAACTTATGACCGACGTGAGTGGATATATAGTCAACAGAAACCTTGCCACTGTCATGATTCACTTCTGCCTTAATTCGAAACGTACAAACTCCAGGAATTTTGATACTCCAACTGACTTTTGGAGCACGCACTATACATTTACTGTCAAAATTTTTTGTATCATCTTTATGTTTGTTTCTCAAATGTCTATTTCTACTAGAAATATTTTGGAACACTTTCCCACAATGGTCACACTTAACACTACTTGACTGATTGTTCATACTGAAATGTAATACATTATTACTGAAATATATAACACGTTATATTTATCTACTTTACCTAGACATTGTGATCGTTTTATTATCCACTATACTATTGTAATAATATTTAATTAATAATAATATTTTATTAACTTCAACCAACCAAACACCATACTACAATGATTTAGCGCCAAAATTATTCTTGGAAATTGCTGACGTATAAAAGTGGATTATATATCACTCTACCATTGAAAACTAACTCAAAATTTACAGTCTTGAGAAAAATTGCATTGAATCTAAGGGTCTAAATTTTGGTAATAATATTGTTTATTCAATAAAAAAAAATTCTCATTGTTTTTGTATTTTAGGCCCTACATAAGCCATCGTAACTCAAAACCAATTTTTAAGAGTTATAGTTTTCGATATTATATTTCAAATTGAGCGCGCTTTTATAAAACTTTTTTGCGCATGTGCTGCACGTTTGATATTTAGACAAAGCTATAGAACAGCTGAAAAGCTGTTAAAATCTCAATTCTGACCAAATTTTCATCGTGATTTTAACTTAAGTTAGATTAGTATTATTTCTAGTCATAATATGGACTAAATAATCCTTGTTAAGTGTAAAAATTCTTTTTCAAAGAGAAAAGAAACTATTTTTGTTTTCCACGTGTTTCATGGTTCGTAATTTTTGTTTACTGGTATTTCGTATCGTTCAACTCAACAAAAACGTGTATGTATAAGGTGAACAAACATTTATTGTTGATAACTGATAATTATTATTTATTTGAAACGGTGTTGACACCCATACAATCATCGGTTTAATTGTATGCTGATGATTGTCATTTTCATACATTAGGAAGATGTTTATAAAATAGCAACGCAATAGCTTTTTAGAAAGATACTTTGGAGTCTTATTACCATCCAAAGACAAGCAAAAAATGGACAGTGACAGAAAAATTCTAAGTTTGAGATTTAACCAAGATCAAGGTTAGTTCTTTGAAACAAAATATTGTTGTTAAATGTAATTTTTGCAGGGTGTTTCTCTTGTTGTATGGAAAGTGGCGTACGAATCTATAATGTGGAACCACTAGTTGAAAAAAGCCAATATGGTAAGGCCCAAAACCCAAAAATCATAGATAATAATTTTTTTTAGATGTTGAGACTGTTGGAAGTGTATCAAAATGTGAAATGTTATATCGCACCAACTTAATCGCGCTAGTCTCGGGGGGCACACGGCCCATGTTCTCCGACAATATTCTTCTTATTTTCGACGATTTATTAAAAAAGTTTATTTTGGAAATAACTTTCCCGTCTTCTATCCAAGCTGTACGTTTAAGGAAAGACAAGTAAACACCCCAATCGTCAAGTAAATCAACCGTGACCCAAATTCTTGCAGAATAATCGTAGCTCTATTGACAAGTATCCACGTTTTCTCTTTCCCATCCCCAACTCAGCGACTCTTCTCTCTGGAAACCATCAAAAACCCCAGGGGACTGCTCGAATTGAGTCCTTTAGGGGCGGGCGAGAAACAAATTATCATTTTTCCGGGACATAAGACTGGAAGCGTCCAAATTCTGGATTTGGCTTGCACTGAAATGGGTATTTCGAGTGCCCCCGTGTGGATCAGCGCCCACAAGGGGGAACTCGCCTGTTTGGCGTTTAATCAACAAGCAACGAAAATCGCAACGGCTTCGATTCAAGGCACGTTGATTAGGGTGTGGGATCTGGCGACTAAAACGCAGTTGGTTGAGTTGAGAAGGGGCACCGATCCCGCCACCATTTATTGGTATTTATTTAACTGAGAAAAACCCAAATTTAATTTTGCATTTTTAGTATCAATTTCAATAGCAACTCTGACTATTTGTGTTGTTCAAGTGATAAAGGAACTGTGCATATTTTTGCAATCAAAGATCCATCTCGCAATAAGCGAATGCTGTAAGTAACGAATTTCAATATACTTAAATACTATTACTTTTTATAGAATCGCAAATACGAATTTTTTTGGGAAATACGCCAACTCGCAATGGGCTTTGGCCAACTTCACCGTTCCACAAGAGTGTGCATGTATTTGTGCCTTTACAGAAAATAATTCTGTAATCATTGGTAAACAAAATGTTGTTTTGTTATGTTGTGACTCAAAAATTGTTTTTCTAGCGGCGTGTCTCGATGGAACTTTTCATAAATATGTTTTCAATCAAGATGGAAATTGTAACAGAGACGGATTTGATGTTTTTCTCGACGTTTCAGACGACGTTGAAAACTTACTTTAAAATGGCACATGATACATGACTTAATTTGCGCTATTTTCACATTTTTATATACATACATGTCTTAAATAGTGCAAGTCTCTTATTAATTTATTTTGCATAAAATATACCTATTTACAACAACTAGTTTTGTTTCCTACCAAAGGGGTCTGACCAAACCTTCATATCTAAAAAGTACAGAAACAACTTACGTATCAATCGCATAATAAACTTACTGCCTGGTTGGACATCCTCTTGCTTAATTCCTTTCCTATTTCTTTCTTGTATTTTTTCTGGAAAAGTAAAAAATAGCAAGACATAACCTACAATTTCCAACTTACTATATTTTTCCGTATTTAACATTGGGTCAATTGCAATGGGATACAGAACTAAACCTATAACACCCACTAGACCTCCAATAAAAACATTGTAACGCCAGCCCCGCAAAATGGTCATTTTTATCAATTTTTTTCGAGCTTAAAAACGCCAAAAATTGAGGTTAACTTGCTTAACATTTATTTGGTTGGCAGCACATACAAGAATCTGTGTGTTTTTTTTTCAATTAATATTTATTATTTGCATTAATTTATTTTTATTGAGACTACACAATACCACAGACTGTACCAATTAGCAACCTAAATAAATATACATTTCTTTTTAATTTGCTTGATAAATGCTTTTATGTTGGTGCGCTTGGGTGCCGCGGCATTTTTGAATCGTCAAGGTGCACAATTTCAATGCGCACCTTGCACTTAAACGCTTCAAAATCTGTAACAAAAACCAGTCAAGGTTTGTGTCTAAAAATAAGGTAATTTGAGTTTTTTGCCTTTATCTTGACATTCCAATCACCATTTCCTATTCCTGATATCCGATTATTAACCTTCCTATCATCATATAATGACTATTCTGTTTCTTAGTATAATCATAATAAATAATAAACGAGGTGGATGATCACATTAACAGTAAGAATAAGTTCAAGAACTTTTGAATTATGTAAATAAATTCCATAATTTAAACGTATGACCTTTCATTTACAAAGAGATCAAGTAAAATCCAGGTTAAAATTGGCCAAAATTTGAAGCAATCATGATTTGACGCTAAAGTAATTAAAAATAATTAAAGCCTAATTAGAATAAAATTATTTGACGCAAATCGTGCTTTCTCCGAAGAGTCACTTTGACCATAATGATGTGGACTACGTGCACCTGGACGCATTCATCAAATTACTAAGTTATTTTTGGTTAATTGAATAAACTAATTAAAAAGTACTTAACGTTTATTCGCCTCCGATAAATTATTATTTTATTCATAGTTCAATCAATCTTCATTTCCGACCATTATAAGAAAAGCTATTAATTTATTTAAAGTCACCTATTGAACTTTATCCTAAGTTCAAGTTATTTGTTTACGCAGAATATCATCACACAAACTTATTACATTGTAATTTACAATGTTAGAGACGCACAAAAGGTCACTGATTTTTGATTTCTCGAGCTCGCATCTCATATACCTGTGACGGTAAACACGCTTTAGGTCATCGGCATACAGACACCGAATTGTTTGACCTTAACTTGAGGTAAAAAAAACATGATTTATATGGACAGCGGAACAAGAGAAAGTCCAATTCCGGATAATTATACGGTGCTTCCAAACATTTTTCACACCTTGACCGAACGAGGGCATTTTTTGCCCTGCGAATCCACCAAAAAGGATTTCTAGAAACTACCTTTCAACGTCAGAAGAAAACACACAATACGCAGTGGAGTTAATTAACTCCACCTTGTAAACAATTTCCTTAAAGGTTGTAAACAATTAAATTTTACTATTTACAAGTAGTAATTAACAAATCCACTTAGTGATTCAATTTACAACATCTCAGACAACATTGAAGTTTTGTATTTTTTAATCAAAATCAGATTAAACGCAGCTTTTGGTCATTTCACGTGTCCGTGACAAGAACATTCTTCACATTTTTCGAAATCAAGCCAGTTAATTGAAATTTAAATAAATCAATTTGTTTGCAAGCAAAAATTATCATTTTTAAATTAATTGAATTATAAATTATGCTTTTTACAACCACTTGTTCATAAATTCAATTAATTTAACTTTTTATTTACTTATTTTTTTTGGAAATGGATTTGCAAAATTGCGTTTATAGAGCATTCACCTAAAACTTGGTGGTGCATTTATAGTAGCAAAAATAGTTAAAACTTTTCTTTAACGAAGCTGAATGAAACACGGTGACAACAAAACCAATAGTATGAAATGTCAGTGTTTTGTAATTAAAAAAAAAAACAACAAAAAAACGTTAAATCTTGCCAAAAGTAAACTTTTTGAATTACACCAAAGTTCTTCGACTTGAGTTCTCTTTTTATTTTTTCTAAATTTTTGTCACTGTTATCTACTTTATGAATACCACCAAATTTTAATAGCAATTTTTTTGAATCTTTAAAAATTTTAACATTAAGAACGTCTTACTTTTTTTGTAAACATTTTAAAAATCTGTATTTTTTAAATTAAAAACTTTTTTTTAGCAAAGAGTATAAAAAATAATAAATGTTAAATACGCTTGTAAAATATACAGGCTGCGCCAGAACTAGCGCCACAGAGAAAAATGCCCTATATAGTAGGATACTAGGAACATGGAAAAAATGTTAAAAAAAAATTATTTATAAAAATTTCGAAGTTATGAGAGCTTAAATTTTGCATTTTGACACTATTTATTTCTGTTGAAAAAATAATTTTCCAATTTTTTTTGCTACAGACTATTAGAAGAGGAAAGAAGGAAGCTGTATCCTAAATTGTAACTCAGTTTAATGTTTAATATTTGTGTTTTTATTGTCAAAATTTGTGTACCTTTATTAAATAATTGTATAAAAACATATACAAGATCATCAGTATCATTAAATAGACATAAAAAAATGTCAAATGTCAAAAAATAAATGTCAAAACATTTATTTCCATGCTCCTGGGGCGCGAGTTGTGGCGTACCCTGTATATGTATTAAAAAAGGCATTCTATTCTCTTTACTTTATTTTTCTTATGGGTTAAATTCTTCCATTTTTCCAATTGTACACGCTGTATTATCAAACACTGTAAAAATTGACCTTCATGTGGAAAATACAACTTGCATAACTTTTATTTTTAAACTTGGAAAAGCTATTTTGCTAATGATAAAACGCATAAAATAGAAAAACAGCCATTTACGATCACAAAAAGCTTGTAAAGTCAGACTTTTGAAACCAGTTTCTAATAGGTAGGTATTCTATTTTAAAATTCATATTTATTTCAAATTTTGCTTGGTAAAAAAACTTGAAAATGTAGGTCCTACCCAGTTTCAAATGGGTCTAAGTCTGGGAATCCCGGCGACCTGTACCACTTACCTCTCACAATAAAAATTCAAGCAAAGTAAAAACTAAAGTCCACACGTGAGTCTATTTTTACACTTATCGGAAACTGTAATAGACGCAGTCATTTGCGTAAATATTTGCAATTAAATGGCATGAATACGTAAAGTATTAATTTTAGTAATAAAGACTTAAAAATTCCCACGAAACGTTCAACCTGGAATTGACATTTCCTTCAATCTCAGGGCCACTTTCTCAGAAGCAAAAACCAACTAACAGGCGTTTACAATCTTTCTGGGGTTTTCCAAAAAATCAGACCAACGGAAATATTTAAAAAACCTCGAAAAAATCTTCTCTCATTCTTTTCACTATGCTTTAAGTGGATTTTTTCCTTTCACATTTCAATACTTCTTTATTTCCTATTTTTTATGTATATTTTTGGCAGTGTTTGTTTTATTGGTTCACCTCTTTCTCGGAATGTCATTTAGTGCTAACGCAAATGTGGCGTTTACAAACAAATTATCGTCGAATTGTACCGTAGCAAAGACGTCGACGTGACATTGGCCTTACGTCTGTGGATTCCCTCCGATGACGCTCTTCCCCAGCCGTATAAAAGCCAGCAGCTTGTCGTCTCGACCATAAACAAATCAACTCTCAAAGCAACAACATAGTGATATAAGTGATATAAAAAAATACGTGAAGTGAAAATGTACACAAATCCGTTCAATCGCACACACTGCACCATCCGTCAGATCATTGACAAATTCCTGCACGTGGATAATGGCAGCAGGAGTTACAAGAACTCGCTAAAGAGGAGCACGAGCAATTGCTCGGATACTTCGTACAGTTCGTGCTCGTCGAAGAAGTCATCGAGCTCGACCGGAAGTATCAAAACGCCCAGTTTCCACAGAAAATACGGAGTGACCAAATGAAAAGTCTCTGAATGAGTTTTTTGGAATTTTTGATCAAAAGCTTGAGGCAGCGAGATAAAGAGGTAGGTGTCAGAATTAAAATTTGTGAATTTTTCTCATTCAAGTCGCGTTTTAAGGTCCAAAAATCTTACAGTTTTGTTTTGTTACAGTTGGCTTCTTGGAAAGATCTGCTCATTCTGCTACTGATGCACACATAGACCAAAAAAGGCTGAAGATTCATCTACTAGACTGCAAAATTCTTATTTATTCTCCTAATTTATTTTATTTATTTATCTTCAAATATAATAAATATAATAAAATATAATTGGATTTTTAATCCACCCACAACCCTTGAAAATAACCGGAAAAAGTCGCAAAGTCGTTTCAATAAGTACAAATAATTGTGGTTCAGGGCTAACCTCATGGATTTCTTCGTCTAATATTTCATTATTGCAATTATTCATATAATTGGTATAAAACAGGAGGTCTCTCGGATCATAAATATAATTAGAAAAGAGGTTGTTTCTCTATTTTGTCTCAAAATCGACAAAAGTTCATAGGAGCAAAAACTTGTTGCTGCTAGATTCATTACAAGAAAAAAATTGGCATTGACGTCAATACGTTTGGGCAAAAACTGGTCTTAAATGAGATGCGTCGTTATCTAGAATCTACTAAAGTGAAAAAGAGAATATGAACGATCTCAATATGAAAAAAAATTGCATACATCTGACCGTGACCATGTGTAACCTTATGGTGGCCATTAGAGATATAAAATTTAAGGGTTATTTCGGTTGAGAATTGGAGCACAAACAAAAAAATAAAAATATTTGGTTGCAACTTGTGTTATTTAATAGTGAAACGAGTTTTAGGCTGGGCATTTAAAAATGTTTTCCTGTTTATCGGTTACAAAAAAATAATTTTGTTGTTCAAACAATATTGAAGTGGAAAATTCTGTTGTAAATATTTTGTAATAAAGAGTTGTAAAAAAATAATTAAGAATTAAAGAAGACACGTTTGCAACTATTAATTATAATTTTTATCTTAAAGCATAATTTATTTATAAATATATTTTTTCAATTCTAGTTTTTTAAATATTCACAGTTAAAATTAGCTTCATTGGTTGTTTATAATATGTTCTATTAAAATGATTTTTCTATAAGGCCTTCGACCTCACATTTGCAATTAAAATAGGTAGTTATTGATAAATTGCTAGTATGTGGTATTTTCCTGTTTGTCAATAATTTATAGAAAATAGAAAAATACTGTTTTTCCAGAATTACCAAAATAAGCCATATGAAAATATTGAATAAAGACTACAACTCAGACTTTGTAATTTGATTACTATTTCACAAAATTATAGCAATGCTATCATTTTTGCAAGAAATATCAGTAATAAAAATTACTTATACCTAAGTAATAGTTTTAGAGTAATGGTCAAGTGCGATTCTAACCTCTGAATATTGCCAGTGCTCGAGTCGGGGTTAAATTTTTTTACTTGTAACTTATTCTAGTAAAACTCAAAGGTGTTAAGAAAAAATGCTTTACATACAGTATGTTTGCGGATTACAAGCAAATATTCTAACCTAGAACTCCTCAAGAGAAGGCACTTTTCTATTTCCAACTTTTGCCGAAAACACGTCATTAAAAATAAGTTGAGGCTGAAAACTCGTCCCCACCTATGTCTTAATATAATATTTACTTTCATTTAGAAGAAAAAAACTATGGAACGTAATCAGCGTAAAGACAAAAAAAAATTATCGCTACAGTGTCAATGTTAGTGGGTCAGTACTTGCCGTTATAAAAATTGCTTAAAATGTTGTCCTTTGTTGACAATGTACGCTTGAACCCTTTGGCCTCAGAAAGCTTGCGTTCGTATATAAAAAGGATCTAGATTCGCTACTGGTTTTGAACCAAAGGCATAGGAAAAACAAGAAAATAAATTATAAATAATAAAAAAGTTTCACAAACATATTCAAATTGCTCAAAAATAATTTTGTTTCAATCTATTCAAGAGTAAATATTTTTTATTAAAGCATTCGTCGTTGTCTGCTACCAACTTATTATTATTGTCAAAATATTATTATTATCAAAATCTCGCGTATGTTTTTCAATCATTACTTCAATTATTTTTTTATTAACATGATGCAATAATTTTGATTTATTTCATTTTACAATAACTACCATATAAATAACTTGTGTGGGCCACCAACACCCTTTTACGAAAATTACGAAAATTTCCACAACTGTTGACAATTTGCTCATAAATTTTTGCAAACAAATCCGCACTTTGTCTAACTCTTTATCCAAATATTTGCTTTACAAATTCCGATTTTAATTTACGTAAGTCCTTTTCTTCCTCATTTGTGATGCATGAATTATTACTTAACTTTTTACTATTTTGTTAGATCCAGCTGCTGTATTAAATAATCGTTTGATTTAAAGTATGTAATTATAATCACATTTCGAGACACCCATTAAAATAACGATACAATCTTTGATATCACTTGACTTGACTTTAATAAGAACTCTCAATTCTCTGGGAATATCATAAAAATTAATCATTGAAGAAAAAAATTGTTTTGGTTTGTTTGGTCCATTTTTTTATCGCCTTGTATCCTTGATTTTTAATGGAACCACAGAAATCCATCAATGGGTTGTACTTTGGTTTTTCCACATATACATATTATAAATTCTGATGATTACTACTAATCAGTGATCTATAGAGCAACGTTCATTGAAGAGGTCAACAAGCATGACTGTCATTTCTCAAAATTTATAATCCGTTTTGTCCTTTATTGGACTTTCTCAATTTGCTCTAATAGTGAGTAAAAAATTTGACCATGTTCCTTAGCCAATGCCATCACACGTGTCTCGCATTTCTCTCTCTTATCTAATATTCCTGATGTAATTACAGGTTTAAATGTTTAAATCCTAATGATCTTGAACATGCAATTAAATCCATACTTAATTAGAAATTAAAGGCGAATACAGAATGTCCATAACATTGTAACAAAATATTCCGCCCTTGACTGTTTATCACGACCACTTCCTGTCTCGTGTCACATTTATCATAAGAAAATTATCATGTTTGAACGAAATGTAGGTCGATCAATCAAATCGCAATTTAGGAAGGAGCCTTCAAGCAAAAACAAAAATTACTTTTCAAAGAAAATATCATCTTATTGTGTCAAGAACGATCATAGTTTCCATAAAAAGACAAACGGCCCCAATGTAGGCTAATCAAAAAAAAAAAAAACTCCAACTCAAACAAAAATACTTTATTTAGGATTTATATCAAAAAAATGGCACTCATCTCACTGATGACCAATCTCTAAGAAACTTCGCGAATTTTTTTGAGTAAACAAAAATGGAGCTTTGGGTTTAGGACATTCAAAACTTTCCATGATATAATTGAGGCGTTTTTTGCTCTTACGTCCTACCGGCTGCAGCAAATTGTTCCAAAGCATGTTTGCTCCTACAAAAGACAAAGTCAACAAAGTCATTACGTGCTAAAATGACTAATTTGCGTAAGCTTCAATGACTTAATCGACACTTAGCGCAAAATTAGAAGCAAACCGGCAAAAACAGCTGTCACTTCTACAAACAATTTATCATTATTTGCAAAAATAAAAGTAATAAAAAATTGCATAACTTAATATCTAGAGTGTAACACGATACTATAATTAGTGTTTTTTAACTGTTTATGATCAATTCTTAATTAACTGAATTATTTAGTTTCTACAGCTGTCATATATTTAATAAAACAATTTATTAAAAGAATAAAACAAAAACTTAATTTTTTGTGTGTTACGAAAAACTTAATTTTTGACAATAAAATAATTGGGGTATTATTGGTTGCCTACCCAAAGCGTGTCCTTTTTGCGAAAAATGGAAACAGTCGTATGTTATGTAGGAAATATCAATGACTTCGTCATATCTTCGTGCTCTATCGTTTGGTGCATTGAATAATTTTATGAATGGTTGAATAACAACCGTGAAATCATCTTTTGTGTCATACCGGCCACTAGAAATCTGTAAATTGTGTTCAAATTAAAATTTGAGACAAACAAACCACTGACAAGTTCCTCCTCGGCTCGTTGAAACTCCCGGGTCATTTTCGTAATAACATCCATTTCGTTTCCTCCCCTGTGAAAACAAGCACAAAACAGAGTGTGCAAAAATCGGCACATCATAGTTCTTTTTACGCGAACACTGACCGAAACATCTGAAAATTTTAATGAGATCATTTTTTTACAAATTTTGACTGACCTAAAACCGGAATTAAGTTAACAAAAGTCCTCGGTAGAGTTCTTTGGAGGTAGTCGAGAGCCAGCATTAGTTTTTTCGCATGCATTGGTGGCGAAAACTCAGCTTTGTTATAACACTGCCCTGAGCAAATGTCATTAGCGCCAAAAAAAATTGTCACCATTTTCCAGTCTTTCTCAAAATTAATTCTCTTATTTTTTCGCATTCGTCCGACCAAAACCTTGGCTTGTGTCAAGGCATCCGCATCTGCGGAAACTGGAAAGGCAACATTTAGCTGCGAAGTTGGGGATGAAAACTCCCCAGTCCCTGTTGAAAATCCCGTCAAATTGGGATTAAACTCCTTCAGGATATTCGGGAGAGTTAAAAACTCGCGCCACGTGCCTTGTCCCCCCGCACACCAGGACACTCCGCGGTACTCAATCATTGTTCCCAAAGCCCATTCTTCCAAAGCTCCGTTTCCGGCAATTAACGAGTCGCCCATGGCTCCGATCACGTCGATGTCGCCGGGGCGGAGGCGGTGGACGCTGGTAGGGCGCGATGGTGACCGACCCATGATGGTAGAACACGGGAATTTGAAAGAAACGGGGATTATGGACTGACGACGCACGTTACTACCCATGATGGGAAATCTCAGCGTCTGGTTAGAAATTTAATTAGTGAAATTATGCGAGACACATGTTTGGCATTGTTTGTTAATTTGGGTATGGCAGAGCATAAATTATTTAAGTCATTCAAGTTGAAATTTCTCTTTCAACGATTTTTTCAATTTTTATCGGACTTTATTGACAATCATTACAAATTGAAAGAAAATAAAAATCAACAAAATGGAAAGCAAGAAAAATCTTTAGTCCCATGTTAGGAGGAAAAAAAAAAACAAGAAAGGTGCCGTTTAGTTTTAATTAATTATCATAATGAATGAATAAATGAAGTCTAACGTGATTGGCTTCTCACATTATTATAATGGCCGACCTCAAACAGACCAATCACATTATTGCATTTAATTATTGAATGAATCAAAAAATCAGAAGTGATTGGTTTTTTACATCATTATAATGGCCGATACTAAACTGCCCAATCACAAGGCTTACAGCTTTTACAACAATACTTACGTTAATTCATTAATAGTTTTGTATGAGAATACGATATTTGCTAGCAAATCTCTCAAAAACTATTTGAGGTACAAAAAACTCGAAAAACCGTCTTGTACAACATTTTATAGGCTTTAATTTTATAAAAAACCAATTCTTTTTTTAATTATCCCAAATTCAATCCAAAAGTCAAAAATTCTGTTCCCGACTATGAATTTCACGACTTGTTCGTTGACTAAACTTTTTTTTTATTTTATTTTTTCAACTGTAGGTACATTAAAATAATTAAAATTAAGCTGGAATTGGGTTGATGAACTAATTTCAGCGATTCAGAGAACGTAACTTGTTACAAAATATAATTACTTACACTGTTACCAAAACTGTCCGGTTTTTGTCCATTGCACAAGTAAAAGATCATGAAACCATAAATGCAAATACGGACCATCTTCTTAGACCTACAGAAAAGCAATTATTTGAATTTTCTATTTCAAACAACTGATTTGTTTAAATAAATGATTTTTAAATTTCTTATTTGAGCGAATCTTGATTACGTAATAACTCAATCAGTGGTAATTTTATTATTTTTAACGACACACGTTTTTCCCTTGCACAACATATCAAGATCTGGGTTATATACAACTCCTGCATAATAAACTACGTTTGACTATTGAATCGTTGACACTATTTACAATAACATCCGTGTTTTTTCAAATGTTAAAACAATGAATTTTCTACAAGAAAAATTCTTTACTTACGTACTTACCTCCAATTCACTTCACTACAAATTTTGAAAATGTCATTGTGTTTGTCTGAAACACAGCCTGAAAAATGAGCAGCACGTGCAATGTCTTCGTTATAAAAAAACCACGTACCCACCACATAAGTGGGGTTAAATGTTTTATTTGTTACCGAATCGTTTATGCAGAAGACACTTTCACTATAGGGTTGAGCAATTCTTTTTAATAAGGTACGGACATAAACAAATTTTTAATAACAAATTACTTGAATTTTATTTTCCGTTATTACAAAATGCGCTACCTGACACTGTTTTTTCGTGTAAAAATATACGGGTGTTCCTCCGAAGGGCAATTAAATTTTTCTAAAATTTCAACAGGTCGTGTGGATTTTTGCCCCACCGGTTCCATGATATTATTCCACAGGGCGTTCGCTACTAGAAAAATGTAATCAAAATAAATATTCTGATACTCGTAATTTTGCGACTAACTCCTAGCGTTTCCTTTTTGACTCATGTGAAAACAGTCTTCAGCCAAATACGAATAATCGGTCACACCTTCTGTCGAATTTGGTAGAAAAAAATCAAGAGTAAACGGCTGAACAACAACGGTAAAGTCGTCGCTATCGAATTCTTCACTGTTAACAATTTCCATATCCAAATTTTGCCATTGTTGCATCAATTTAATATAAATGTCTTGTCTGTTATGACTCGTGGGTCCAAAAAGACATGGACATTCAAATAAATGAGTAAGTTTACACTTTGGTGGGACACCAGTAAACCCAATTAAAATTTCTAGATCTTAAAAGTAATAAACAAGTAAAAGAATCACTTTTTTACCCCGAGTTTTACCTACTTGGTGGTGGTATCACATTAACAATCGTCCTAGGCAAATTATACTTTAAAATTCTTAAAACTTGCAACAAATCACTTTTATGCTCTTCTAAAATAGCAGTGAGATTATTTTTGAAGCAAATTTGACTGCAGAAATCATTGGGACCGATCATTAAAGTCACCATCTAGAACCAAAGTTAGGCAACACAAAAAACACAAATTTATTTTACCTTCCAATGTTTCTGAATATCAATATTCGGATCCACCATCATTCTCTTAATCATAACTTTCGCCATATACGGGATGTCCTCTGAAACAGCCCCACTTTCGCCAACATTAAACCTCGATTCTGGATCCAGAGTGAGCGTCGTTGCGGTCGCAAAACCGGTCAAATTCGGATTGAAAACTTTTAAAATGTTGGGAAGAGTTAAATATTTGCGCCAGGAAGCTTCGCCCCCTTGAAAATCACCTTAGACATGATTTTAAAATCTTGGATAAATACCAGCAGTAGCGGCGATTCCCCTATATTCCAGAACAATTTGCAGGAGGTTGATTGCCATCAAACCAACTCCTGCTGTTATGCTGTCGCCAAGCCCGGCAATCACATCAATGTCTCCGGGACGGACTTTATTAACATTTTCCGGAGGCTGCAAACTCCGGGTGTTGTTCAGAGGACACGGGAATGCAATTTCGGCCACTTGTTGCACTTTCTTATTGATTGATTAAGCAATGTTACAATTAAAAAATACTCACATTTCTAGCTCTCAAAATTGGTAAATTTTGTTGACTCGTGTTGTTTATGAATTTAAAAGCTGCAAGTCGTATTTGACGGAACGGTCCGATCAAAGCGTCGAATTCCGCAGGTCTTGAAGACACAAACGTGATAATTAAAATTACGCAAAAACATTTTTCCATTGTGAACATTTTTCGTGATTTTGAGACGCGACTTGAATTGTTCTGATTTTTTCAAAGGATGAATTGTTTTTTATTTATATGGAGAACCGGTCAATATCGGTCTGGGACATTGCTAAGGTCGTAGACAGAACTCGTTTTGCAAAAACTGATGCTACCTCTCATTACAACTAAGTAGTAATTTTAATAAGCTTTAAACAATTGCAGGTTATTTATGCATTTTTAATTACAAGTAGGTATTTCAAGTTTATTTCAACATTAGTAAGACAAGGGGGCACTTTCAAAACTATAAAATGCAAAAAATTAATGAAAGATTGAGAAAAAAAACAAAAAACATTGTATTTTAATAACACTTGTTATAGTTTACACTTTCAACAATACCTTACAAATTGTTTAAGTATTTCTAATTAATAATTTGTTGCTAATTATTTATTATTAACTAAGCAACCAAAAAAAAAAGCTTTTTTAATGATTTTTTTATTTCAAAGATAATAGCAGACAATGTGTACTATGGACTACTAAGTATTCAAAATTTCATAAACCAAATAATTTTGCAATACCTTATCGTATACCTAAACCTTATATCAGTTATATCGTAGAAATAAATATCTCAATAAGATAAAAGTCTAACCACAATAAAGATAGGGCAGTTTCTACAATGGCGTTGCAGTAAATGTTGAAATTATGCGTTTTAACATCTTTGCACTAGTTTTAATAAGTGCTGGTTTATTTATTTTAATAAAAAACGCACAAGTGAGATTCAAAATTTCTTTTTGTGTATTTTCAATTAAAAATATTCTCTAGGGACAAGAGAAACTGTGCAGATCGTCAAAAGGACTGATATCTCGAAGTTTTTGGAACCGCTGGACTGGGTATTTTTGTTATCAATATGAAAAAAGACTTAAATTTAAATACAATTTTACTGTGATACCATACGACTCTTGGTACATTCCGGTCACCTTTGTACAATTTTCCAAACATGGTCCACAATTGATTTAACACAATTTTTATAGATTGACAACAAAACTGATTTTTTCTGGTGGGATTTTCTAAACAAAACTTCCTTAAGTTACATTCGCGCATCATTTAAAAGCGACACAATTTTCGAAAAATGGAAAACATGTGCACGAGAAGCCATCAATTGTTGCGATTATTTCATGACCAGTGAAAATATCATTCCAAGTAACGACCCGAATTTGCAAAAATCAATTATTTTTTGTGTTTGCAGCTGACGAGTATCCTTGTCCTGCAACTTGGGACGACTGGACTTGTTTCAGTCCTGCGAAAGCCGGCTTTGTCGCAAAAGTCCTTTGTTCGGAATTGACTTTTTCGTCCAAGACTCGCGAATGCGAATGTAACTTTCATAGAGTTGCACAAAGTGCACTTCTAAGTATTTTTTTTAGTGCAAGCCGAGAAAGAGTGTTTTAGAAACGGGACATGGAAAGCCAAGACTGATTACAGCCCTTGTGCTGTAGCCCCAGTTTTGAAAAGTCGACATCGATTTCATATCACTGTCTTAGCAATAGCTGTAGTTTTGACGACTCCTGCAATTGTAATTTTTTTCAGCTTCCAATCATTTAGACACAAACTTCGGTTTATCTTACACAGAAATTTAATTCTAATTATTATAATAAAAAATTTGTTTGTTATTGTGACAAAAAAAGTCGTCATAATGGATGCTTTAATGAGCGATGATGACAATACGATTTTAAACGAAAATAGAATTGCTTGCCGAGTGCTTGCATTTTTCGAAAATGTGTCAAAAAATGGAGTTTTTGGGGCCATGTTTCTTGACGGATTTTACTTGCACCGGTCGATTGTCCGGCCATTTGCTGACCAAACACCTACAGTCTTCATCTATTTTTTATTTTTTGGTTAAATTTTAATTTTAAAGCTGGATAAATTGTAAGCTTTTACAATTTTAGTTTTATCATGTTTACCGTCCTTGATATGGGCTCTACTCAGAAGTCTGCACCATGGCGAATACTGCTGGGTCATTGATAATACAGGCGACCAATGGGTCACCGACGGTTTCCGTTTGACCATTTTAACAATAAATTTTCTTCTTTTGATGGACATTCTCCGAGTCATGATTTTAAAATTGAAACATAATAGCGTATCGCAGCAAACCAAGTAATGTCCATTTCTAATTGCTGTGACTTCAAGGTCCAAATCTTGATTTCCACAGCCACTTGTAATTTAGTTTAACAAATGTGAATTTTAGAACAACTCTAAGGGTAACTTTATTTCTGATACCACTTTTTGGGCTTCATATTCTCATCACTGTTAATCGAGACATGGTTCCTGATAATACTTGTGGTTCTGTAGATGTTTACTACTATGCTACTTATTTTGTTGAAGGGCTTCAAGGTATTTTAGTGGCATTTTTATTTTGTTACATAAACAAAGAAGTGAGTCAGAGACGCATTCAAGAAATAAAAAAACAAAAAAATATATCTTGCAGGTTCATCATGAAATAATAAATGCTTCCCGAAAAATGATCATTTATTTGCAACAAAAGCTTGACAAAAAGAGTGAGAGAAGGACGACTTCGGCAACAATCGTAGAATCAATAACAGAATAAAATATTCCGTGTCTACTGTTTCTGATAGGTACTTTGTTATTAATTAATATTCTGTATTTTATTAAATGTACAATAGATATGTATTTATTTTTTACTGATAAGATACAAATCCAGCAATTTAATCAGCGTGATGCGTAATGATAAGTCAATGATATCATAGTAAGAAATATATCCTAAAATTCATTCCAGAAGTAAGTGCTCTATTATTATGTTTTTTCACCGTGTAATTACGGGATTTGTGTTATTATTTATAACTGTAATCACAAACGTAAGAATGTAATTATAGTATAAATAATCAGCTAATTTAACAATTAGGGTGAGGAAAAATTATGTAGAGTCAGGGACACTCCGGGATTGATTCCCCGCGAAATTTGGGAATTTTGGACAGGGTACTATTGTTACAACTATTCGAATAACTATCGTCTCTTATTCAAATACAATGTAACTAGAGGAAAATACAACGGATCTACCATACCCCTCGCTCGGGTAATCACAAAATTGAAAATAATTATTTTATAAAAAAATATTTTTCAAAGATTAATTCTACAACAGTCGTTCCGTTTGACTACCGCAACTCCATTTCCCGCTCATGCATCCGCGAATCCTTCAAAACCGACCATTTTTTCCAAATGTGGGTTGACTGCTGTGAAGAAGCCGTCGACTGTTGTGACAACTTCATGACCAATGACAACATCCAACCAAACTCGGAATACCCATGCCCAGCAATATGGGACGGCTGGAGTTGTTGGGGCCCTGCCAAAGCCGACACTGTTGAAAAAATGAAGTGTTCAACTCAGGCATACTCAACCGATTCGGATGTGTGCGAATGTAAGCAACTCGCAAAGCTTGCCACCCAAAAAATAAATTTTTCTAGTGATGAGCGAAAAAACATGCTTCGCTAATGGTACATGGAACCAAAAAACCGACTACGAGGTGTGTGCCGTGGCTCCAATTCTCCGGAATCGGCACACTTTTAATGTTATTATGTTGGCAGTAGCGACCGTGTTGTCGTTTCCAGCAGTCGTAATTTTTTTCAGTTTCCGGAGCTTCCGGAAGAATTTGAGATTGATTTTTCACCGGAATCTTCTCCTAGTTATCATAATAAGAAACCTTTTAACTATAATGTCAAAGGAGATTATTATTTTGGACGCTTTGGAGTCGTCAGAATCTAACCATGTGATGGACGGTAACGGAGTGGCTTGTCGAGTTCTAGCCTTTTTTGAAAATGCCGCCAAAAATGGGATGTACGCGTGCATGTTAGCCGATGGGTTTTATCTCCACAAATCGATTGTGAGGGTATTTGCTGACGAGCCTAACATTATCTACATTTATGCAATTGTTTTAAGTAAATTGTAAATATTTTCGCGGTTTGGATTTCGTAATTACTTCATTTGTAGCTTTAACTTTTTTGCCATCGCTTATTTGGGCGATAACACGTGCTGTTCATGAAGGAACCGACTGTTGGATGGTTGATGACAGCTCAAATGATCAATGGATTCCAGATGGTTTCCGTATTGCAATCCTTGCAATAAATTTCTTATTATTATTTGACATAATCAGAGTCATGGCTATGAAATTAAAACGGGGGAATACCAGCCAACAAACAAAGTATGTCTCTAGATGGCACCACTCAATTTAAATTGAATACTTTTCAGAGCAACACTACGCGCCACATTATTTCTCATTCCACTATTTGGAGTTCATATTATTTTTATTACAAACCGAAACATTGTCCCAAGTCACACTTGTCAAGCCGAAGATATTTACTATTATTTGAGTTATGTAATGGAAGCTTTGCAGGGAGTTATGGTTGCTATTCTCTTCTGTTACATAAATGCAGAGGTTGATTATTTGAAACTATTTAGAGCAACTATAATTTTAAGTTTTTAGGTCCGTGGAGAGTTGAAAAATGGTTTTAGGAAATTTATTTTATACCTGGAATCGAGGTTTGGAATTACATTTGGGAAAGTAAGAGATATACACAGAAGACCAACAGCAGCAACTTATTGTTAATATTTTTAAGAAAAACAAGTTACTCGATATTCTAAAAAAAAATCTCTTAAAAAATGTAATATTTTATTTTATTTATGTTTAGCGTTTCAATAAACCTCTTTATTATAATTCTTTTAATAAAAATATTAAACAGCAGCAACTGTCAATGAAAATGTGTAATTCACAACCAATAAATATTATTACAAAATATTACAAATAAAACAATACAATTACGTATAATTAATAAAACTTTTAGAATAAATAACATAATTTATTCAAAGGTGTTGCAATGTTTCTCCTCGTTAATTACAAAAACAAAAACGCAATCAAAATCGTATCATAATAATTAGTGCATTTTTTATACACTAGAAATTGTTTAAATAAAATGTGTGTTTAAATTTTTATCTAGTTTTTTGACACTGTATAATATGAAATTTTTCATCGTACAAATAATTATATGTAGACAACCAACTATACACTATTTAAATTTAAAAAACATTACCTAAAAATTAAATAAACAAACTAATGGTGTTATAATAAGTTTGAAATAATTACATAAAGATACAGAAACAAAAAAAATAATTATTCTTAAATATTGCATTGGTAACCTTTACATTTGAATGTTGGTGCTAATGGCGGAAATATCTTTATCTCTCTCTGACATCCGTTCTGTCAAACTCTTTTTGCGGCGTGTAATGGTGGAGTGCTAGGTGAGTAAAAATTCTGATTTATTTTCATCATTTATTGCATAATTATCCAGCAAAAACCTCAGTTTTTTGCAAAAATGATCCGATTATATTCTAATTAAGCATATCTAGTCCTTTTCAAATCGCAATTTCTCGTGTTTTTGTCAAATTGTTTATCAACTGCCCCCGACCACGTGAAAATACCTAGTGTTTTAATTTTCCGTTTCTTTGCTATATCTCTGAATATGACTATTATAGTCAATCAGTAAGGTAAGTACTGTGTTTTTATACAGTGTGTAATAGTCATATTCAAAGATCCTGAATATGATTTTACACACCCAGTAAATTAAGTGTATTTCTTTCACAATTTCAGCAAAATGCCACAAAACGAATACGTAGAACGCCACCGTAAACTCTACGGCCGCCGACTTGACTATGAAGAACGCAAACGCAAGAAAGAGGCCCGCGAGCCCCACAAACGGGCTCAAGTGGCCCGCAGTCTCAGAGGCATCAAAGCCAAGATCTTCAACAAGGAACGTCGCAATGAAAAGATACAAATGAAAAAGAAAATCAAAGCACATGAGGAGAAGAAAACTAAACAGAAGACGGAGAAGGTGGCCGAGGGGGCTCTTCCAGCGTATTTGCTCGATCGTGACGTCCAATCCCGAGCCAAGATCCTCTCAAATATGATCAAGCAAAAACGGAAAGAGAAAGCTGGGAAATGGGACGTACCCATACCCAAAGTACGCGCGCAAAGCGACGCCGAAGTACTCAAAGTTGTAAAATCGGGGAAGTCGAAACGAAAAGCCTGGAAACGAATGGTGACCAAAGTTACGTTTGTTGGGGAAGGGTTTACGAGAAAACCGCCGAAATTTGAACGGTTTATCAGACCCATGGCACTTAGGTTTAAGAAAGCACATGTCACACATCCAGAATTGAAGGCTACGTTTTATTTACCCATAATTGGGGTTAAGAAGAACCCGAGTTCGGCGATGTTTACGAGTCTTGGGGTTATCACAAAAGGGACTGTAATTGAAGTCAATATTTCAGAGTTGGGGTTAGTGACACAAGCGGGGAAGGTTGTTTGGGGGAAATATGCACAAGTCACGAATAACCCAGAAAATGATGGCTGTATCAATGCTGTTCTTCTTGTCTGATTTTTCTATGTAATAAATGTTTGAACAAAAATATTTTTTTTAATTTTTGTCCATTCCTTCTTTATTGCGTTCACGCTAATTTAAACATGAGAAATTGCGTTTTTATGTTTGCATTTTTGACAATTTTTTTTGTGCAGTAACTCCCCACGATGCAGATTTTCGTAAAAACCCTGACTGGCAAGACCATCACTCTTGAGGTCGAGCCGTCAGACACCATCGAAAATGTAAAGGCTAAGATTCAGGACAAAGAGGGGATTCCCCCGGATCAACAACGTCTCATCTTTGCCGGTAAACAACTCGAAGATGGACGCACCCTCTCTGATTACAATATCCAGAAGGAATCCACTCTTCATTTAGTTTTACGACTCAGAGGTGGCGCCAAAAAGCGCAAGAAGAAGAATTACTCGACACCGAAAAAAATCAAACACAAGAAGAAGAAGGTCAAGTTGGCTGTCTTGAAGTTCTATAAGGTTGGTATTTTGTAGAGATAAGCTTCTTGGGGATTTACACGATTGTTACAGGTGGACGAAAATGGAAAAATCCACAGATTGAGACGCGAATGCCCCGGTGAACAGTGCGGAGCCGGCGTTTTCATGGCCGCTATGGAAGATCGCCATTATTGCGGAAAGTGTGGATACACTTTAGTTTTTGCTAAACCAGAGGACAAGTGAAGTATACATTGTATAATATAAATTGTTAAAAACTTGAAATAGGAAATAAAACTGTTTCAAGGATGATTTGTTTAATTTATTTGAATTAAAACTTTCCCTATTTCAGAATTCTTAAAAAATGGTTATTCAGTTAAGTAGAAAGCAATTGTGAAATAAAACTGTTATGATGAATCAACAGTTTGACATTTTTTTTGTTTCCTATTTTCAAAAAAAAAAATTGGTACGAGAAATGCAGTTTGTTTTTTATTTTGCAACCATAGTTGATAGTAGATAGTAGAAATAGGAGTCACTTCAAAAATTTATTAAAAAAAGAACTCAGTTTTTGTTATTTATTTAAATATCTACACGTGTACAGGAACAATCGATAAAATCTATAGAGGTACTAAAAATCTAACAGTGCGTAGTGACGTAGAATAAATTTCAAAAACAATAACAATCCTAAAGTTCACTCTTCTCATTTTGCTCGACTGTATCCTTATGATTCTGCAGAATCGACATGACCTTATTCGTATAACTTGGATTAATTGATCGTTGAAGTTCATTTAGCGACTCTTCGGTCTGTTTCAAAAGTTGTATCGCAGTTTTTAAAACTCGTTGCCACTTTTGCAACTCGACCGAATGTAGTGTTTCCTGTTGTTGAAGTAATTTAATCCATTCATCGTGTGTTTTGGGTGGATCTCTAAAACAATCCAAAGTAAACAAAATCGAATCATAAATGAAACACTTACTTCAAGACATGCAAGTCCAAGAGGGTGTACGGAGGGGACTCTTCTAAAGACCACAATTTGAAATACAACATGACATTGAGAATAACTAACAGGATTAGAACAGTAAAGACGATCATAGTGGCGACATCTGAACTAAAAATGCCTCCTGGCGAAATTCGGTTGGTGGCCCCTATCAAAGGCCTCGTATCCTCGACACCCTGTCTCGGCATACTGTGAATTCTCCGTTTCCTCCTCGACTTGCGTTTCACGTCGCAAACGTTTTCCTCGCCCTCCACATGTAACGCCTTAGCTAAGGAAACGTAAAAGTCCTCCAATCCCGACCAACACGTCTTCTCAATCATCCCTAAATTACAAATTAACCAATTGGAAATTTCGCCAAGAATCGTACCTTTCACCAAGCCCCAGACCGATTTTTTATACATGACTTGTGCAAACACTTGATACGAGCTTTCCGTTTCGGAAATTTTCTGAAGACAGTGATGAACTACAATATTAAAGCTATCAGCGTAAGGAATGCCGGCGTTTACTGTATCCACATCTATGGCATAAAGACACCCAGCTTTGCTACATGGAAGCATAACCTGAAAAAACAATCAGAATTTTCCCCTCTTGGCCGATAAAACCTACTTGACTCTCCGTAACTTGAGCCGTTTTGGGCCCCATGGCCTGAGTTAAAGCTACCGTTAAGTTAACAACACGAGTCTTACTATTATCGCTCGGATTATGCGTCCAAGGCGTTTGAGTAAGATCGGTTGTTTTTCTAGAAGCGTGAAAGTCCAAGTAGAATTTTGAACTGGTAAAAAGTAGAGTAAATAATTGATCTATGTGGATAGGTATGATTTCGTTCATTATTTGACGACCTTCGTGAGTCGAAGTGCACTGCACGTTTGTATCACATCTGAAAATAACGATCTTTTGTCAAAAAAACTTAAAGAATTTCAGGGTTTTTGTTTAGTTTTCATTCAAAGCGATTATTAACGAAATAGCGAAAGGCTGCCACAGGTTTGCGTCACTGCAGCGTGAAATTAAAAAGGACGATTTCAAGCGCAGTTTTGTCTGGCAAATGATGAAATATTTTGTAAAACTCAGGTGATTTAAGCGGACGCTTCCGGTCGATTCTTATTCACCTTGACATAGTTATGGATATTACAATAATTGCGTCTCAATGTTATATCTCGCAAAAAACTATATTTTTTAGTAAAAAAAAAACTTCTTTAATAAAAACCATCAAGATACCACCCACAAAATTGCGTAGGGAAACCCTAAGGTTTCCCTAAGTCCCATCCGATTTAATTTTTTTTTTTTTTCATTAGAAGAAAATATAATCTTAAATGTTAAATCGCAATTTTTCCCGTTACAATTCGTATTCATCAAATTTTAATTAAACTGTTTTGTGATGTCTTTTTGCCTAAATTTTGGACGTGTTGTACAAAAAATATTTTAGTTTCTGTTTTTTGATAATTTCTTTTGTTTGATGCTTCTTTGTAATGTGACGTTTTTTTAAACCCTTTGAAAGATTTTACGAGCATTTGAATTTTTATTGGATAAAGCGAAAATACCTCTTTCACCTAAGGCTTTTTTAGTTAAACTTAACAAATTAGTGTAAGTGATTGCCATTTCTTTTAATCGCGTTGTAAAGTTTTTGTTTTCTCAAGGAACTTTAATGCTATAATTTTTTCTATACTGTTACGCACCACATAAAAATCAAATGAAAAATCATGTTATACAGGGTGAGTTTTAAAAAATGGAAGGCGCTGTAGAATTTTTAATTATGGCCCGATTTCAAAAATTAAAAAAATTAATTTAATGGCTTTTAATATAATATAAGCTGACAATTTTAGAATGTTTCTAAATGTCATAATATATTTTGGGCTATATTCAACTTTCTAATTGTAAATAGGGACCCAAACTTTTTTTTTTTCATAATTTGGAAGATATAGTTTTTTTAGTACAGATGTGCAATATGTTTTACTTTTACTAAAAATTATTGTTTAAAATAAAAAAATAAGAAGAAAAAAAAATAATCAAACTTAATAAAATCTAGTTGCATGGTGTCAGTAAAAAAAATGACATTCATAATCTTATT